TTTGTCCGATGTATGTGGTGGGGCAGTCGGTGCATGGGATTTCATATACTCCTTGATTTTCTAACTCAATTTTGTCTTTGGGGTTTCTTAGGATGGTGGATATTTTTCGGTTTGTGCAGAATGCTGTCTTGATGTTGTGTTTGTGGAGGATCTTGCTGATTCTGTCTGTGGTGCCTTTTATGTATGGGAGGAGGGCTTTTCCGTATTCTTGTTCTCTGTCTTGGATTTTAGTGGGTTTTTTTTTTTGGATTAGGTTGGTAATCTTATTTCTTTGGAATCCATATATACACATTGCCATTGCCATAGGTGTATACTATAGGCCACCCAACTAAACAGAGGAAATAGATGAGCATTTGCTAGTCAGTTAACTAAGATATATAGGAAGCACATCACAACAGTAACGGGGGACTTTAATTACCCTGACATCAACTGGGAGACAAACTCTGCACCAAGAGGAAGATCAAACAGATTCCTGACAAACCTAGCAGACAACTTTATCTCCCAAAAAATAAAGAAGGGAACTAGGGGATGGCTTCAGTGCTTGGCGCGCTTTTGGAGGGCCGCAGCGCTTTAACGGCCTCTCTGGCGGCTTCATCCAGCATGACCTTCTTCAAGGCCTATTGTAGCGAGAGTCTCCTTAGTGTACAGTTTTTGTTGGAGCTCTCGATTCCGGAGTCTGCAGACTAAGCAGTCTCGTAGTCTCTCCTCCAAATCTGCGAAATTGCAGAGTCGGGACGCTTGACAAAGAGCGGCAATGAATTCTGTTGCAGACTCGCAGGGTTGTTGCTCCCACTGCTCAAAAGCATGCCTCCATACTATAATGGATAACGTGGTCTCAAAGTGGTCTCGGAGCTTTTTTTTCAAGTCTGCTTAGGTGACTGACTCGAGCGGCACCAGGGCGACCAGATTCTCTGCAATGTCAAAGGTGGCAGGGCCGCACACGCAGAGGAGTGTCGTGGCCTTCAATCCATCTTCTGCGACCTGTTGGTGCGGAGGTAATTTTCAACGTGGGAGATGTAGGACGCCCCTCTCTCCGGGTGAGTTACGTTGAATTTTCAAGCTTCCCGATCTTTGCCATGGTGGTTTGTTTCTTCGTTCAATGCCTTGCACTGCTGGCTTCTGTGTAGGCCCTAGGATGGATCCTTAGGGTGTGGTCGTCTCCAGCGTGGCTTGCTGGCAGACCGGGGGGGGGGGGGGAAACATAGTTCCTGTCAGGCTCTGTGCTGATCTCAC